CATAAAGACTTTCCCAGACAAGAAAAAGTTAAAGGAGTTCATCACCACCAAACCGTTATTATATGAAATGTTGAAGGGTCTTTTTGAAGAAAAAGTAGATAAACTATATGAACAAACAAAATGGCAATGAATACTATCTGTCGACAATGGAATCTACAAACCAAATGAACGGGCAGAACAGAAACATTCTCATAGATACAGAGAGCATTTTGTTGGTTGCCAGATGGGAGGGGGTTGGGGGAATGGGTGGAAAAGGTGAAGGGATTAAGAAGAACTAATTGGTTGCTAGACTGACAAACCTCAAAGAGAAGGCGGTTCGGGGGTGGGAAGAAATAAACTAAAGAACTTATATGCATAACCAATGGACACAGACAACAGTGTGGGAAAAGGCAGGAGCGGGGCGAGAGTGGGGAGGAGGGGGTCAATGGGGGAAAAATGAGGAACATCTGTAATACATTCAACAATAAAGATTTTAAAAAAGAACAACAGAATATTGTGGGCACATTTCAGAATGTCTATTTTCCTATCTCTCCAATTTGGAGACAGCAGTTTTCCCTGTGACCTCAATTCTTTGATAGCTCTAAGACAGTGGTTCTCAACCTTCCTAATGCCACAACCCTTTAATATAGTTCCTCATGGTGTGTTGACCCCCAACCATAAAATTATTTTTGTTGCTACTTCATAACTGTAATTTTGCTACTGTTATGTCTTAGGCGGCCCCTGTGTAAGGGTCATTCGACCCCCAAAGGGGTCACGACCCACAGGTTGAGAACCGCTGCTCTAAGAGGAGTTATTGATTTTGTTTGCTTTTTTCTGCTGAAGATGAGAATGTCACTTTAGCCTCTTACAATGCAGATGAGAAACTAGAGGTCTCTGACTCCATGTTTTAGTGTGTGACTCCTGGTATGTTAGAACAAACAGTATTCCTCCTGCATAGAGAAAACTCACTTCTTCCCTCTACTTTTACTCAGAACACTTCAGTTCTGACACTTCCCGTCACCAAATGTGTAAGGTTTTTTTCCCCACAACAAGCAGTTATCTGTGACACCAGCTGGTGTCCTACAACTTAATCATGACACTGTCTTCCTGGAGATAGTGTTACATCCTAAAGGTTAAGGTCTCAGTCCCAGGAGACTGCCCCACCCACCCCACCCCCAATTCAGATGTCAATGTTGGAAGGATCAGACTCACTTCTGTCTGACTTGGCTACAAATCAGAGGTTCCTAGATAGCCCCAGTCCTTGGGTTAGATTTATTTGCTAACGTGCTTACAGAACTCCAAGGAACACTTAAGTTTACCAGTTTATTAAAGGATACAGATAAACAAAATGATGAAAATGTACTATTGGTGAGCTCTGTGACGGTCCCTGTGAATTTCCATGTGTCACCTTTCTGGTACGTGGATGGTCCCATCAACCCAGCTCTCCGAACCCCACACTATGGGGAATGTGCAGTCTTCCTCACACAGTCAATTTATTGACTCCATTTTCATCCCTTCTTCCCTCTCTGGAGTACAGAATTGGTCTTCTGGTGACAGTCCCCATGCAGGAGTCATCAGAAGCCCAGCCAGAGTCTGCTCATTAGAACAAAAGATGCTCCTAGTACTCTCATCACTTAGGCATTTACAAGGGTTTTATGAACTTCCTATCAGGGATTAGGGTCAGAGACCAATATACAGGCAGACCTCACTTTGTTGCACTTGACTTGTGTTGCATTTTTTTCCCAATTGAAGGCAAGACCCTCAACCAGTAAAAAGATTCCAACTCACTCCGTTGTAATACTCACTTATTGTGCTGGTCTGGAATTAAACCTGTAATATCTTTAAGGTGTATATTTTCTGTCACCTGACAGCTGATTACTTGAAAACCTAAACCCTCCTTCTTCTGTCTTGGGCCCCTTGTCTGTGCATGGTGATATAAAAGCCTGGCTCCTCACTCCTTTGATGCTGACAAGATATTCAGTCCATGAAAGCCCCCTGTGTGTCTGTGTGTGAACTCTCACCCTAGCCCACCCTAACCTCAATAAAAAACCCAGTCCAGCCCTGGCCGGTTTGGCTCAGTGGTTAGAGCATCGGCCTGCGGTCCGGAGAGACCCGGGTTCAGTTCCCGCTAAGGGCATGTACCTCGGTTGCAGTTTGTCCCCGGCCCTGGTTGGTCATGCGGGTGGCAGCCACTCGATGTGTCCCTTTCACGTCGATGTTTCTCTCTCTCTCTCTCTCTTCCTCTCTCTCCCTCCCACTCTATCTGTGCAAAAAATGGAAAAATGTCCTCGGGTGAGGATAAAAAAAAAAAAAAAAAACCCAGTCCAGGCTCCTTTCCTTGCTCTTTTAAGCCATTTTCCACCCGCTCGAGAGGTCTGCCCTGCTCTCCCTAGAGACCTCAATTATGGAAATCATAAACCTTTTTATACATTCCTGGTGGTGTATGTTGATCTCAACTATTCAACCAAACTTTGGATGGGGTCATGGGTCCACCTTTCAATGCTGGTTATAGCAAACGTAAGATGATAATATATACATATTGCAATACACTTTGTTTATTTGTTCTATTGATAAGTCCTCCAGATATTTTCACAGCAATACCCTTTGTTTTTAAAATTACATATGATGATGAATTTATGTAAACCATTCTTTTTAAATAGACACTTGGCTTGTTACCAATTTTTGCTGCCAAAAGCACCAATGAAAACTCAGATTGCAACTTTACAGAGCAAACCAACATATACAAATTATGTTCTTTTCCAACCTTAATTACTTCTTAATTTTATCATCAAATATATTCAGAAAATGCCCGGCCAATGTGGTTTAGTGCTTGAGCATCAACCCATGCACCAAGAGGTTGTAGGTTTTTTGTTGTTTTTTTTGTTTGTTTATTCTTTTTTTTTATCCTTACCCGAGGATATTTTTCCATTTTTTGTACAGATAGAGTGGGAGGGAGAGAGAGGAAGGGAGAGAGAGAGAAACATCGACGTGAAGGGACACATCGAGTGGCTGCTACCTGCACGACCAACCAGGGCCGGGGACAAACTGCAACCGAAGTACGTGCCCTTAGCGGGAACCGAACCTGGGTCTCTCTGGACCGCAGGCCGACGCTCTAACCGCTGAGCCAAACTGGCCAGGGCGAGGTTGTAGGTTTGATTCCCGATCAGGGCATGTGCCCAGATTGTGGGCCTGATCCCCAGTGGGGGGCATGCTAGAGGCAGCCAATCAGTGTTCTCTCTCATCAATGTTTCTATCACTCTCTCTGTTCCTCTCTCTCTAAAATCAACAAAGAAAAAATTTATATATATATAAATATATATTTAGAAAAGATTGTACCAACTGAATTATGGTAAAACTTAGTAATAACAGTACAAATACCCTAGGAGTCATCATTAAGATTCATAAATGACCTGTGGGCAGTGGTGAGGGTCTCCAGATGTTCCCATCCCTGACTCATTTCTGTCCTGCCCCATAGATGACCACTATTCTGATTCTTTATTCTTCATACCTTTGCCATCTATTATTTTTCACTAAGCAGTGTTCTTTCAGTTTTGCCTCCTTTGACCTTTCAAAGTATGAGTATTAAAAGTTCCCTGAAAAGGTTTTCCCTTGGTTACTTTGCCTCTGTGAACGAAAAGGGGCCACATGCTAACCTGACAAGCTCAGGGAAGGTCTTCATGGCAGCCTTGCAAACTCAGAAACCTAAAATAACCACAAAAGATGGTCTGAAATTAAAACTTTTTTTAAGCCATTTTCTTTCTTTGTTCTTATTGAATTTTTTTTTTTTTTTTTTTTTTAGAGAGAGAGGAAGAGAGATAGAAACATCAATGTGAGAGAGATACATCGATTGGCTGCTTCCTGCATGCCCCTCATTGGGGTTTGAGCCTGCAATCTGAGCATGTGCCCTGACCAGGAATCTAACTGGGACTTCCCAGTCCATTCATTGGATGCTCAATCCACTGAGCCACACCAGCCACACTGAAATTAAAACTTTTTAACCAGAGGCAGTTCATGGCAGGAAGTCATATCCTAGGCTAGAATCTTCCCTGATGAAAGTCAGTCTTTACTTTAGCTAAGCCTGTCTAATGTCTTTTGCATCTAGGATAACATACCTTTGGAATGCCAGGGTAACTTACCTTTTTCCACAACCAATGCACCCTAGAGACTATAAATCCTCTCATTGTTGTTTTTGTCTTGTTAATTGTTCACTATTAACTATCCTGTACCCACCTATGTAAAATATATATATGTCTGTCATTTTACTTTTTGTCCAATCCCAGAGATTTACTTCACCACCACCACTTTGCTTCCTCCCACCTACCTAATCTATCACCAGTGAATTTCGTATAACCCATTTATGTCTTCTCTTTTGATTATAATGCATAAAATAAGGTGCAAAACTGCCATTCTCTGGAGCATTAGCTCAGTCTGTTGAGATTGTGCTTCCCAGCAATTGTTAACAGTTTAGCTAAAATAAACTGACAAAAATTCTTCACAGGTTTGTTTCTTATGTTGTCACCTCATATGTTTCACACTTGCTGGCATCTGAGGCTTGGGGCCTGGTCTAGGACTGTGGGCTCAAACTTCCCTCCAGAGTCAAGTGCCCCTGTGACCACAGGATTCTTCAAAGTACCAAATGAGTGTGGGTGGGGAGGGGAGGGAGGACTTCTCCCTGCTGGAAATGTTCAGTGATCAAAATGGTGCTAGAGTCATCGTTACATATAAAGTGGTCACTTTTAAGTGTCTCTGTTTATGAAGAAAGGTCGTGAGTGGCCTGACAACCTTATGGTTAAAGGACTGGTGCAGACTCAGTGGTCAGACAAGGACGGCTCAAAGACGTGACCTCCAGCCTGCTGTCACTCAGGCAGGAGGGGGCGGGGCCTTTCGAATTGTCCAATCAGGGGAGTCTCCAGTAACGTACGTGAGGACGGAGCTCTGATGACAGCGTGGACTGCGGGTTCATCGCTTCTCTTGCGGTCTGCTCCGGATCCTTTCTCGCTACTCTTAAAGGCCCCAAGTAGCTCTGCCACATCCTCTGTCGCTGTGACCAGCACTTGTTGCAGTAGCCACAGGGTGGACAACAGGGAAACCCCCGAAGTCGAGAAATGGTGAGTGCGTGGGCGGGCTGTTGGAAGACTGGGGAGGAGGAGGGGGTTAGTGGAACAAGCGTGGCTGGACCCGGCCTTCCGGAGAACAGCCCAGAGTTTTGGGGGCACGAGTCCGCGAGGGGCGCGGCACGCAGCATGGGGATTTGGCCGGCGACTAGACAGACCCCAGGTGTTTTCTCTGGTCACTGGCTGCGTCTCCCCCAGAATGTTCGGTGACCACAGGGAGGATCATCAGGAGACAATCATGACTGGGTCTCCAGGGTTCCTACGTGGAAGAGCTGTGGTCTCTGTGGTCCCCAGCCCCTCTTTTTCTCCCCAGGAGGACCCATTTTCTCCTGAGTTTTACAAATGATTGGGGAGCAGGACCTCAAATCCATGACCCTGTACCCCAACCTAGGTCTTTCTGGGACTGGCAGTAAATCCCTAAATTTCCAGATCTTTCCTCACATTCCCAAACGCCATTTTCCCCTCTCTAGTTCACAGCATCATTATTAACTATTTGTTCTCCGTGGTGCATTTCACCCTACGCAGTATTTTAATTGTATATCATTTCTCCACACAGCCATGGATGGTTTTCTTTTTACATTTTTTTTTTCCTGTGGATGTTTTATGAAAGAGGAAATCTAGGAATAAACCACCTAATTGGGTTGTGTAAAAAGCCTTGTGCCTGTCCCCCCAGAATTTTTCCTGGGCACAGACATCCTATGGGTGTCCCTGTTTGGAAACTTTACTGGATGATCTGTTCTTTACAACACCGTTCCAGGTCAAGCGCTGCCTATCTCTTGCGTTTGTGGTTTATTCACTTTAAGTCTCCTTTTTTCTCTTTTTTTTCAATGAATATAAATGTATTTAATCAATAGATCTATAATATAAAACATTTCCAAGGAAAAGGTAAATTTCAGAAAAAATAAATTCCATTATTACATCCTTTTGTTAAAATTTTTGTCTCCTTCCTGCCCCCCCCCCCCCCCATGAGCAAGTATAAAAACATTCTGAGATCTCTTCTTTTGGTTGATTTCAAATGCAGTATCAGGGCTTAGACTTGCAGCACCTAGACCAGTTTAGTATAATCATTTTCCAAACAGTTGCTTGCCATGGAAATAATAATTAACTAACATTTATTTTCTGAAGGGAATAGATATTTGCAGATTTTCTTGTTGAACCAGAAAAAAATGCCTTACAGTTTTCTCCCATCCTTTACACTTAAACATTGGGTTTATGTGATTTTATTGGATTGTTTAAATACTGAGTTTGTGTGTTTAAAATATTGGTGTCCAGAGCACTGGATGGGAAGCAGAAGCCTAAGGTGAGTCTAAGCTAAGGTGTGCTTGAGCCTAAAAGGGAAGTACTTTAAGGCCCAGTTAGTTCTTCCTCGGAAGCCTCCCCTTGCAGGTGTCCTACCTACTCACACTCACCAGGGAAGGAGCCTTTATTCTGGGAGAAACTACTGCCCTGGAAAGCTGGGGATAGGGATGGGGAGAGGACAGGGTGGGATGGGGCAGATATACCTTCTAAGGTTGTAACTGTGATTTCCTTGGGCTTGATTCTAGGTATAGGCTTGAGCATTGCATCCACAGTGTAGATGCTCTCAGAGTAATTTGTGTACATTGAGAAAGTCTGTGAAGGTCAGTTGTCTTCCAGACAAGGGTTTATGAATTTGGGAGTTTTGGGGTGGGAGTGAGGACCTTAAATTGAATCTGGTTAAGTGTTTCCTTGCTTGTGAGAATTAAAGCCTGAGAGAGACAGCCTTTCCATTATTACCTCAGGAGAGAGGCAGGCAGAGCTCCCAGAGAACATTCCTGTGGGTGCTCAGGTGTCCCCCATACCTCCATCATCAGAGACTGATCCACTTTAAGAGTTGTATCCCAACATAGGGACTGGAAGCTTGAGAATGTGGGTTTTCTTCTGAACTGTGGGGAAGCAGGTGGCTTATCTTACCTGAGTCAAAGATTTGCATTTCTTTCTTTGGATACTCATAATATTATATACTGAAGCTCTGAACTCTAGTTTTCCTTAGCAGTTTGTGATATTTTCTGGGTGAGTGTGTAAGATTTTTAGCTCTTGGGCTTTGAAAATATAAGTTGATTGAGAGATACATAGGAGTAAGGCAAGAAATTCTGGAACCAAACAGATTATTTGTTCCTTTTAGGCAAGAAATCCTCAAGGTATGAGATGGGTATATTTGAGCTCTCAGGTAGATTTTACATTTTAGGTCAGTTTCTTTAATGTGCATGCCCCTAGAGAGCCTTGAAAATTTAAATGCTATAATTTTGCTTAGGCATAAGGATAATTAATTCCTATTTTAATTAATAGGAAGACAAAACTACTCAAAACTTACATAAATCTTTGAAAATACTGGTGCATCTAATGGAGTAGACTCAAATAAAATTATAATATGCTTTGCCCTGGCCAGGCATCTGTTGGTTAGAGCATCGTCCTGATACACCAAGGTTGTGGGTTTAATCCCCAGTCAGGGCACATACACAAATTGATCAACCAATGAATGCATAAATAAAATGGAACAACAGATCAGTGTTTCTCTTTCTGCTCCCTTTCTCTGTCTCTCTAAAAATCAATCAATAAAAATTTTTTTTAATTATAATATGCTTTTATCCCTGAAATAAACCCTCAGAGTGATATATAAGAAGCTATAATGCCTCTTGTTATTTTGGTTAGAAAAAGATTTGAGATTTCTTTATTTTTTATGGTTTAAACTTTAATAGGTATTAATGTTTAAAGAATTAACTCTTAGAATGGTTTTCTATGTTGAAAAGAAAAAAATAAGTTTAAAATTAAATTTTAAAAAATAATTTAAAGACTATTAAATAGGAAAAATATGGTGTATATAAATTACTCGGCTTATTTTTTAAAGCAATGCATGCAGTGGCTAGCAGAAGTCTATGTCAGCCCCACCGGTGTGGCTCAGTGGACAGAGCGCCATCCCATGGACTGACAGTCAGGGTACATGCCCAGGTTGTGGGCTCAATCCCCAGTAGAGGGCATGCAGGAGGCAGCCAATCGATGTATCTCTCTCATATCGATGTTTCTTTCTGTTTGTCCCTCCTCTGTCTCTAAAAAAGCAATAAAAACATATAAAACAATGTTTTAAGTCTATGTAAGATAACGTTTAAAGGTTTAAGATAAAGTCAACTCACCACTGAAAGGAACATTCTGGTCCCCTCCAGGGCTCTTGTTTCAGCCACCCCCAATAACCAATGTTGAATTTCTTGAGCATCTTGTTAGTCTTTTATTATAATGAGCAGTTGGACCCCACACTTTTTGGTATCTGACTTCTTGCAACTAAAACTTTCCCCCTCTCTCTGCCCCTTGGGCTCCCACCTGGACAAACTGATGGAAAAGTCTGAGTGGTCTTTCCTCTAGAGATGGCAGGAAATACAAATCACACAAGCCCCTACCCTTGGACAAGGATTCTTGCCCCAGCCCTCCCCCTAACCCCATTGAACACCCAGGCCAGGCTCCTTTCCTTGCCTTCTGAAGCCATCTCAGAGCTGTTTGAGAGGCTGCCCTGCCCTCCTGAGACCTTCCTTATGTGATCACAAGTCTCTTCCTACCATAAGAGGGAGTGTGTGTGTGTGTGTGTGTGTGTGTCCACACACCAATGTCATCATTGTCAAGGTAACCATCCCTCTGCAAGTGATCATAACAGCTGACACCATAAACAGCATATCCTGACAAGACCACACTGGTGGATCCGTCTTCTCTTGCTCTAACCTGCTCTGCTGCCTGATGGTAGCCCTCACTGTGCACAGCTGGAGAGCTAGTGCTGTGAGCTGTGCTTCCCCCTATGGCATTGCTAAGCCTACCAAGCTTTAGTTTGATGTTCAGCCAACCAGAATTGACAGTTTCAGGAATTCTGAGGCATTTGGAAGCAGGAGTATGGGATCAGGGCCCTCCTTAAATTAATCCTGGGTCTGTGTCTTTGTTGGGAATTATCTATTAGAGTGAAGCTGTGACAGAGGCTGAGTTGGCCCCAATGTGTAGGGCACAAATGAGAGGAAGGGGTCTATACCCTGTACAAGAGGTGGACCCATCTAGTTAGTGGCTTTTCCTGAAAGAGCAGTTATCTAGAGAGAGAAGAGAAGAAATGGGGAAAGGCAGCCAGTACGTGGCAGGCTGATCCACACTCCTTCGTTTCCATATTTCTAATCCCAGAGGGATCCCACTAAATTTAAGCAAGATACCCCTGATAATGTTAGGGGAATTCGTGAATATAATATAGAGTACTGAATATAATATAATTAGTATAATATAAAATATAATACCATAAAGGATGTTTCACCTTAACCATGAGAACTATGATCTTACCTAATTTCTCCATGATCATAGCATGCATTTTCTTAAAGTATATACCACAACCAGCGAGGAAGGTTTGAACCAATGAATAATAAGTTGAATTGTAATTTAGTCTTTGGCACTTTCAAATTATATTAATAAAATGGGACCCCACAGTCCTTAATTCTACCTAACTTCATATGATCTAATGTAAATTAAATAGGGCCTTGAAGGATTAAAAACCACTGTATACCTATTTAGTGAAGAAATTATTATCCCTTCTGTTTTGCCTTTGAACAGCTGAATTTGGCCTTCTTTTAAGATAGTTTGATTTTAACTTGATAGAATAAATTTCTAAATGAGTTTAATATGCTTGAAGATCCTTTGTTGACTGATGAAAAGCAGTCTTTAATTGCATTGATTATACTAACTGGATAACTTAGTAACTTTCTATTAAAATCATATATAGTTATATGATTTTACTATAATTGGCAAAGGTGAATTTTTTTAACTTATCTTTATTGTTGAATGTATTACAGATGTTCCGTCAGGATGGCCGAGCAGTCTAAGGCACTGCATTCAGATGTTCCTCATTTTTCCCCCATTGACCCCCTCCTCCCCACTCCTGCCTTTCCCCACACTGTTGTCTATGTCCATTGGTTATGCATATATGCATTTAAGTTCTTTGGTTTATTTCTTCCCACCCC